CTGAGATGAGAGCTGATCTAAAAGCTGTACAAAGAAGGTTAGATAATGCAGAGGAATGAATAAGTGATCTAGAAGACAGGACAACAGAAAGCAACCAATCAGAACAGCTGAGAGAAAAACAAATAAAAACCAATGAAAACAATATAAGGGATAATATAAAGCATGCCAATCTACACATAATAGGGGTTCCAGAAGGGGAAGAAAGAACAAAGGGTGTTGAAGAGGTATTTGAAGGATTCATGACAGAAAGCCTCCCAAACCTAAAGAAGGAATCAGATATCTAAGTACTCGAAGCTCAGAGGGTACCAAACAGGAAGAACCCAAAAAGACCCACACCAACACATATCATAATCAAGATGGCCAGAGTCAAGGATAAAGAAATGATCATAAAGGCAGCAAGAGAAAAACAGAGTGATTTACAAGGGCACCCCCCCCAAGGCTCTCAGTTGATTTCTCTACACAAACACTACAGGCCAGAAGGGAGTGGCAAGATATATTCAAACTCCTGTATGAATGAAAGATGCAGCCTAGGATACTTTGTCCAGCTAGGCTATTCTGTAGAATAGAAGGAGAGATAAAAAATTTCACATACAAGCAAAAACCAGAAGAGTTTAGCAACACTAAACCCATGGTAAAAGAAATACTGAAAGGTCTACTCTAAATAGAAAAGAAGCAGGATGCTACAGAAATGAAAAACCCATAATTGGAGATGTGATAACTACAGAGAATTGCAAGAGAATAAAAATGAAGATGTAAAAAAATAAATAAAAGTAAAGAATATCTAAATAATAAAAAGTGGGAGGGAGAGCAAGAAAGTGTAGATTTTTTTTCTCTTTATTCTTTTTTCTTTTTAATTTTGTTCTTTTTCGGATGTGTTTGGGCCTACACGACCATCAATTTAAAGGAAGCAGATATAGTAAGAGGTTACCATACTTGAAAAACAGGGTAACCACAAAGCAAAAGCTTACAATAGAGCAACAAAACCCTAAAAGAAACCAAGCTAATAGAACAGAAAATTATCCAACCACAAAAAGAAAAAAACAAAAAGGAATAGAAAAGAACAAGGAAAAAATACCTAATCAACTGGAAAACGAAGTTCAAAATGGCAATAAACATATATCAATAATTATGAAAAATGTCAATGGACTAGAGTGACAGATTGGATAATAAAACAAAAGCCTACAATATGCTGCCTTCAATAAAACCACTTTAGAGTGAAGGACACACATAAATTGAAAGTGAGAGGGTGGAAAAAGATATTTCTTGCAAATGGAAATGACAAGAAAGTGGGAGTAGCAATACTCATATGAGACAAAAGAGACTTTAAAACAAAGCCATAAAGAGAGAAAAAGAAGGACACTATATAATGATCAAAGGAGCAATACAAGATGAAGCTATTACACTCGTTAACATATATGCACCCAACATAGGAGCACCTAAAGATATAAAACAAATAATAACAAACATAAAGGGAGAAATTGTTGGGAATACAATAATAGTAGGAGATTTTACACCCCACTAACATCATTGGACAGGTCTTCCAGACAGAAAATCAATAAGGCAATGGAGATATCAAATTACACAATAGAATGGTTGGACTTGGTTGATATTTTTAGGACATTACATCCCCCTAGAAACAGAATATACATTCTTTTCAATTGCTTATGTAACATTCTCTAGTATAGACTACATATTTGGGCACAAAAGATGCCTCATCAAATTTAAGAGGATAGAAATATTTCAAGCAACTTCTCTTACCACAATGGCATGAAACTAGAAATCAACCACAGAAAAACAAATGAGAAAAAAATGACAGCATAGAGACTAAACAGCATGTTACTAAAAAACCAATGCGTCAATGATAAAATCAAAGTAGAAATTAAACAATATCTTGAGACAAATGACAATGAGAACACAACCACACAAAATCTATGGGATGCAGCAAAATCAGACCTAAGAGGTAACTTCATAGCAATAAAGGATTCCTCAGAAAAGAACAATCTCAAATAAACAACCTAACCTACCACTGAAAGGAATTAGATAAAGAAGAACAAACAAAAACCAAAGTCAGCAGAAGGAAAGAAATAATAAAGATCAGGGAGGGAATAAATAAAATTGAGATTTAAAAGGAATAGAAAAAAATCAACCAATCCAAGAGCTGATTTTTTGAGAGAGTAAACCAAATTGACAAACATTGGGCCCAGCTTACCAAGAAGAAAAGAGAGACAACACAAATAAACAAAATAAGAAATGAAAATGGAGAGGTTACAACCAACACCACAGTAATACAAAGAATCATAAGAGAATATTATGAACAACTATATGGAAATAAATTGGACAACATAGAAGAAATGATCATGTTTCTAGAAACATACAGTTCACCAAAACTGAATCTGAAGAAATAGATGATTTGAACAGACCAGTCGCTAGAGGTGAAATAGAATCAGCAATACAAAACCTTCCTGCAAACAAAAGTCGAGGATCAGATGGCTTCACTAGGGAATTCTATCAAACATACAATGAAGAGCTCATACCAATCCTTCTCACACTCTTCCAAGAGACTTAAGAGTAGGGAATACTCCCAAATTCATGCTATGAAGCCACCATCACCCTGATCAAAGCCAGACAAAGGCACTACCAAAAAAGAAATCTATAGGCCAATATCATTGATGAACATAGATGCAATAATCCTCAAGAAAATATTAGATAACAGAATCCAACAGCACATAAAAAAGACCATACACCATGATCAAGTTGGGTTCATTCCAGGGACACAAGGATGATTCAACATATGCAAATCGATCACTGTGATACACCACATCAACAAGAGAGAGGACAAAAATCACATGATCATCTCAATAGTTGTGGAAAAAACATTTGATAAAATTCAACACCAATTTATGGTAAAAACTCTTACCAAAGTGGGGATAAAGGGAACATATCTCAACATAATAAAAGCTATTTATGACAAACCTACAGCCAGCATACTAAACAGTGAAAAGCTGAAAGCCTTTTTGTTAAAACCTGGAGCAAGACAAGGATGCCCACTCTCATGACATCAAATCAATATAGTATTGGAAGTCCTAGCCATAGCAATTAGACAAGAAAAAGAAATAAAAGGGATCCAAATTGGAAGAGGTAAAGTTGTCATTATATGCAGATGACAAGATACTATATATACAAAACCCAAAAGGCTCCACACAAAAACTATGAGAGCTAAGAAAAGAAACCGGCAAGGTAGCAGGATACAAGATTAACATACAGAAATTAATTGAATTCCTTTACACTAACAATGAAATATCAGAAAAGGAAAGTAAAGAAATAATTGTTTTTAAAATTGCATCCAAAAAAAAAAACTTGGAATAAATCTGACTAAGGAATTGAAAGACTTATATGTGGAGAACTACAAAACGCTGACTAAGGAAATTAAAGATGACTTAAAGAAATGGAAAGATATCCCCTGTTCTTGTGTTGGAAGAGTTAATATTGTTAAAATTGCCATACTATCTAAAGCAACATATAGATTTAATGCAATCCCTATCAAATTACCCAGGACATTTTTCACAAAACTAAAACAAATAATCCTAAAATTTATATGGAATCACAAAAGACCCAGAATTGCCAAATTATTACTGAAGAAAAAGACTGAGGCTGGAGGAATAACCCTCCCAGACTTCAGACAATACTACAGAGCTACAGAAATCAAAATAGCATAGTATTGGTACAAAAACAGACACATGGATCAATGGAACAGAATAGAGAGCCCAGAAATGAACCGACAAACTTTTGGTCAATTAATCTTTGATAAAGGAGGCAAGAACATACAATGGAATAAAGACAGTATCTTCAGCAAATGATGCTGGGAAAACTGGGTAGCTGCATGTAAATCAGTGAAGTTAGACTACTCCCTCACATCATACACAAAAATAAATTCAAAATGGCTTAAAGACTTAAACATAAAACAAGGCATTATAAAGCTCTTACAATAAAACATAAGCAAAACATTATCTGACATAAATCTTAGCAATGTTCTCCTAGGGCAGTCTACCCAAGCAATAGAAATAAAAGCAAAAATAAACAAATGGGACCTAATTAAACTTACTAGCTTTTGCACAGCAAAGGAAACCATAAGCAAAACAAAATAACAACCTATGAAATGGGAGAAGCTATTTGCAAAAGATGAGACTGACAAGGGCTTAATTTCCAGAATATATAAACAGCTCATGTGACTTAATAACAAAAAAACAAACAACTCAATCCAAAAATGGGCAGAAGACCGAAACAAGCAGTTCTCCAATGAAGACATATGAATGGCCCACAGGCCAAATGCTCAGTATCACTAATTATCAGAGAAATGCAAATCAAAATTACAATGAGGTATCTCCTCACACCAGTCAGAATGGCCATCATTCAAAAGTGCACAAACTATAAATGCTGGAGAGGCTGTGGAGAAAAGGGAACCCCTTACACTGTTGGCAGGAATGTAGTTTGGTGCAGCCATTGTGGTAAACAGTATGGAGATTTCTCAAAAGATTAAAAATAGACTTACCATATGATCTAACAGTCCCACTCCTGGGCATATATCCAGAGGAAACCTTAATTCAAAAAGTTATCTGCACCCCAATGTTGATAGCAGCACTATTTACAATAGCCAAGATATGGAAACAACCTAAATGTCCATTGACAGATGATTGGATAAAGAAGCTTTGGTATGTTTATACAATGGAATACTACTCATTCACAAAAATAGTAAAATAATGCCATTTGCAGCAACATGGATAACCCTGAAGAATGTCATTCTAAGTGAAGAAAGCCAGAAAGAGAAAGAAAAATACCACATGATATCACTCATATGTGGAATTAAAAAAAAAAGACAAACAAACTTCTTTACAAAACAGAAACAGACTCATGGACATAGAAAACAAACTTATGGTTACCAGGTGGGAAGTGGGTTCGAAAGGATAAATTGGGAGTTAGAGATTTGCAGATACTGACTGGTATAAATGAAATAGGTAAATAAGTTTACTCTGTATAACATAGGTAACTATATTCGGTATTTTGTAGTAGCTTATGATGGAAAAGAATATGAAAACGAATATATGTATATTTATGTGTGACTGAAGCATTATGCTGTACACCAGAAATTGACACAACATTTTAAACTGAATATACTTCAATTTAAGAATTTTTTTTAATCTTAAAAAAAGACAAATACAAATCTGATGTTGTCTCTGGATCATTCAGCTAATAGGATAGACATAGAAGAGGTAAGTTAGTTTTTCCCTCAATAACATTATAATTTTAATATATTGAAAATATGTAGGTATAAGATAGAAGGCTTCAAAGTTTATGGGAAATGTTAATTAAGAGGAGAAATGGGTGAGATTTTTAATTTTTCCCATCTTGGTTTATTTCCCCCTATATTCCCCCTTGGTTTTTTTTAACATGTCACAGACCCCTCAACCCTCAGCACCCAGTAGCGCTGCCACACATACACTTGTGATCTGAAGCCACTTCAGATTTGCATTTGTATTGGTTCCCTCTGAAACACATTACTCTAAGTCTCTTCTCATTGTCCAGGGTAGTTTATGATATGACAGTCGATTGGCAAACATAACTTAAGGACAATATTTGACTAATTGATAACCTACATTTTTTAATGTTCCGAAAGTAAAACTTTTCCTTTCCTTGAACAATGAAATGCATTTTATTTTTATTTAAATTCTTATATGCTACAGCCAGATTTATTTTAGAACTTGCCTGTGCCAACTAAAGAATATTGCTTGTCATCTGGCTCTACAAGGATTAACTCACAGGACACTGCAGTTACTGACCTTTAATGTACCCTGAAAGGAGTTCAGGTTGGAAATCAGGAATAAGGCCCTCTGTGCTCTGGGAAAAACAGGCAGAACAGGCCTTCTGATAGATATTTTCAGGAGGAAGTTTTATGAACCCAAATTCTTGCATCTTCTCATACCTAGAAAAGTACTAAAACCATTAATGGAGGCATCTGCTCTTGGTGACTAGAAGCAACCTTCTACTGAAATGTGTGTTTGACTGCATGTACCCCCTTCACCAAAATCATATACTTACACTGACCCCTCCCCTTCCCACTACCTCTTTAGAGAAGTTCCTCAGAGCTATCTGAGAGGCTGCCTCCTGAGTTATAGTCCTCAGTGAGCCCCAAATAAAACTAAACTCACAACTATCATGTTGTGCATTTTTTAAAGTCAACACCAACATTGTCAGGGTCTGGGCCTGCTACTGTGTTACTTTGTAAAATTGGTACAAATATTTCAGTTAAGATTTATGAGTGAAATTTCTGTTAAAACCAGAAACATATTCAAGTACTTTTAATAAAAATTTACTTAAAATGTACTTTTTACTAGCATAAATTTTCTACCCTTGTAGACTTGGAAGTCTAAACATTGAAACATTATACTACTGTGAATATTTTAATATTTAAAGAGAAGCTAAATTTTCAATGTCTCTGCATATGATGAGAAAATTAATTTGTAAATTTTGTTGTTCATAACATGAAGAAAATACTTTTCTATGTTTATATATTCCTGCATAAATCATCATATGTATATATTTATATCTATAATAAAACTTCCTTTTAAATGCCTATACCTTGACTTTCCTTAGTAACCTCTACCTAAATAAGATTCTTGTATAAAAGTCTACTCTTTTATGCCTTTTTCTCAATCTAGATAGAAATTAGTTGTCCTTTGTTTCTAGTATTTGAATTTTTTATATTGTGCTTGTGGTGCAGACTAAAGCTTATGCATTGGAATAAATGAAATGGGATTTTCAGCTGAGATGTTTTGAGTAAGTAATTTTTAATTAAGCTTAGCTGGAATAAAATACTTCTTTCTGGTTTTAGTCTGACCTCTATGGGTTGGGCCTCCCCGAAGTGATTTAAGTTTTCCATTATCATTTAGTCATGGTCAGCAATTATTGTTCCAAACTTCAGCTTTCAGTGCCCTACACATTCAGTGACTTCTGCTTTCTTGTTGACTAATTCTGTCTGAAAAGGATTTTTTGTGCAAATGGAGCATCTGTTAAAGGGAACCTTATTTGAGGCTTACTTAATAAGGGTCACTCCAAGTATTTCTCTGAAGGTTATGTATAACTTAGGAGCAAGTGGACCACTTTAATCTTTTCTCAGGATCATTTATTCTTTCTTCAGGTGACATGTATCTGGAGAATAATAAACATAGTTTTCAGTGCAAGAAAAAGCAAACCAGAGTTCATATCACCTTTAGGCACACAAATTCTTTCTTTTTCTTTTTACTTACCACAATAACAGAGGGAAAGATAAATGTGTGTAAGGCTGAGCAGTGACTGAACATGATTAAGTGACATTAGACTAGTCACTGTTCTAAAAGCCATTGCTGCTAATTTCCCAACTCACATCCACATAGGATCATAAGAGAGAAATACTGAGCATGGGGATGGTACGGGTGTCTGGAAGATGTTACAGAAGAGTATACATACCATACATACCAATCAACCTGGGAGTGAATTAACTCCACTATAAACCCATGAATAAGACGTATAGAAAGTTCCATCAAAGTTGTCTGAAATTTTAGGCTTTGCCAACGTTAGCATTACCATAATATATAAAAGAAACGACAATTTTATGCATATGCTTTTAATAAAAGACATAGGAAGATAAAGCTGGTCAGTATTTATGAGTATTTTTGTAGCAAGACACATGGTTTTAAGAATACTATATACACTATGAGCAGATTGGTGGAAAAAAAGGATTTGTAGCAAGTTGGCAACTTGAGCTTAACAACTAAGGTCCCCAGTGCTTTTCTTTTTCTGGCTCTCCAATGCATTTTGTATATTACCAAGACCCAGTACCAGCTTTCCTGCTGCATTCCTTTACTGATTTAGCCAGCAAGATGACAGCCATTATTCCTTAAATGCATCTTATCTTATTTTTTCACTTTAACACCATTCCCTATTAAGAATCTATTTCCTGATATATTGCATTCATTGTCTAACTCAATCTGCTGATGGCCAAATACCAGGCTGCTACAAAGAATACATTTAATAATTTTGAACACTGTGGGGGACACAGCCCTAGCCCTTTTGGGGAAGTAAACAGTCATGGATTGCATGCTATTAGGAGCCATCTGTTCATTATTATATTACATAATACTTACATGCAAAAGACTATAATTTAATATGGTGCATTACAGCTACGGTTAAAGCAATGCAGATGTATCATACCTCATAAACCATTTCCCACTGATTGGATGGAATTCATGAATTTTCTAAGAACATGAGACTTGTGGAGACGTCTAACAATCTTCTCACATAATTTCTGTGACCCTGACAGAAGCACAGAACATGTCTTTTGCACCAACTGAGTACTTTAGTTACTCTGAGAACAGAAGTTCTAGAATGTAAGAATTGAAAGTTTTTCACTTGCAGTGACTGTAGGACATTTTTCTACAAGGAGAGGACAGAAACTCATTCCTTTAAATTTTTTGCTCCTGATAACCAGGTAGCCTGCTTTGGGGGGTAGTGTGTGTATAAAATGAGAGGTGAAAGGGGTAGGCTTTGCATGACTGTTACATTCCTATGATTTGGGCCATGTTCAATTTCAGATGCATGTTACAATAATGTATATTCAATATTCTTAAAACATACCTGCTAGGATTGTGCTTATATCTCCATTAGCCTCAGTGTCTACACTTCATATAATTTGGCATAAACATGGGGAAGCACATTCTTTTCTCTGGCAAAGATAGCCCTGAGAGTGGGCTCTATGGGAGCCAGAAGACATAATGGCACTGGCTGATGCTACATAGTTTGAAATATATGTGTTACATGGGGCCAGAGAGGGAAAGAGGTACATATTACATTTCTATCACATACAAAATAAGAAATGTATAAATTCATATTTTCAGATTCTGGACAGTGTAGGACTCTTCTGCAATGTGGTTTCACCCTAATTGCTGTCAGTGTTCTAAGCCTCTTTGTGGTTATTCCAGTACTAGGAAGACAAGTCACTCTAGCAGCGCACTGGACACAGCAACTGAGTTCTGTCCCAGACAGCTATGTGCATTTGGAGAGCATTTCATTTCTTTCACTGCCCTCAATTTTTTGGGTTCTACATGGGGAAAATAATTCTATTCTGCCTCTTTCCAAGGACATTGTTGGAGTGAAAGAAGGAACATTAATAAAGTACTCTAAGCTCTGCAAGAACAAATCAGCAATGAGAGCATGAAAGAAAGAAAGGAGGACACTGATTTGTTTAGAAATACTGTCTGGTTATACTTTTCATTCCAGTCCTGCAATGAAGGATATATAAGAGCACTGGGGAGTTACATAGCACCTTTCACCCGTAGGATCCTAACAATGAGTGTCTTTGTTTTGCAAATGGAAAAGATAGGTACCAAAGATTGGGAAATGAGATCCCACAAAGGTTACTGAACACAACACCAATGAAAAGCAAGCAAAGGAGCCAGATCAGGGTATGCTAATTATCAAACAAACCTCTCTGTCTTCTTTATAAGTAGTCAACCAATTGGGGAGGTGTTTAGGTGCAGAAGTCAATACTCAATGATTTATAATGAGGTTGTATCAGAGTCTGTAAACTAGTGGAATCAGGGTTCAGAGATAGGAATAGGGTTTCTTTATTTCCCTAAGCCCCCAGGTAAAACCCTGATTTATTTGGCCTTTTGAAGACAGTTTAAGTCTGTAAGACATTAAATAATCATCTTTGCATTATAGCTTTCCTGAGCTTTACCCTTCTAGTGCTTCTTTGTAGTTTCCTGACACTGTCTTTTATCACCTGATTTCTATGAGTCCTGAGTGCTAATACACTCTATTCATCAAACAAGTTCTTGATTCCTTCCTGACTTTGAATCATAGTTAGCAGCTACTCTGCCTAAATCCTAGGCAGAAGATGATGGATGGGAAAGGGAAGGATTGCTTTGAGGCCTACTGGCTGTGGTGTAGGCAACGGCCCTACCTTTAGGAGAGGTGCATTTCTATATGAATATAAGGCAAGGCTTGGCAAACATAAGACAGTATGGATGATCAAATAAGCTTTCAAGATAAACCCAAGCAAGAGAGTATTTTGAAGGGAACGAGGAAGGGGAAAAATCTTCCTATCTGAACATACATGATTTCATCATGAAACTCAGTGTGCATAGTCTACTAGGCTGCTTCTCAGCATCTGAGTTTGAGAAACAGTCCCTGGCCCTAATAGATTTAGTCATGTCTAATATTCCCTCAAATGGAATGCTGACTACAATCCATTTAATTTATGCTGAAAGTCTTACCTTGACCAAAATTACCTACAAGATCCAAATGAACAGGTCTTTCATTGCTTTAAGTAGCTAGATTGCTCACATTCACAGCTCCACTGGGGCCTGAACACTGAATTGTTTGTGGCAGACCACTCTTTTTTACTCAAAAAGTTTCAGGGGGAATAGTTTCACAAACATAGCATCCCTCTAGGAGCTCAATAACTTGCTATCAATAAGATGCCTCTAACTTTCACTAATTTATGTAAGAGTTGGGACTTCTATTGTTAGCAGTTGGGTTCTAGAGCACTGACAGAAATGAAAACCGTCAATACCCTTAGGTATTATTATTATTATAGAGAAGTAGCATTAGTGTCCATACTCATTGATTCAGGCACTAGGACTAAAAGAAAGGCTTATTATAAATAAATTTGGAAATGGATGTAAACTATCTTAATGGCTACACTACTACTGAAACTAAAAAAGAAAGAGAGAGAGAAAGAGAAAGAATTGACATATTACTATTCAGTTTCCACTATCTGTACACTAATCCCTGTTGTGAAAACACACATCTTTAGTGTTAATCCTTAGGCTAATTTCAACTGTGAAACTTTACCTTATTAACAGTATTGTAATTAAACATGAAAGTCACCCTTAAACCCCTTAACAAAACCAATGGTCCATAACTTAGGCTTATAGTTCTTGTTTCATAAAGGTTAAAATAAAGCTAGGTAGCAGAGAAAAAAGTAAAAGTTATTGGAGAATTTTACCACAGCTTGGCATTAAAAGTCTTTAAAATACCAATCATTATGTTAAATAAAGTGGAAATCTTATCTAATCTGATCGTCTGTATTAGCTGTGTGCTTTCAGGAACACCATACCTCTATGACAGAGAACAGGTTTCACATTGTTGTTCAATTCCCAATTCGAGGACCTTGATCACAGTGTTTTGAATCTCCCTCTTGAATTTTAGGCACCTCTTATAGGGAAGGTGTTCACAGCTTAGCAAATATTTAAATTAGCTATTTAGGAAGAAAATATGATTGAATAAAAATTTCAGATTTTTCAAACCTTGATTTTCACACCACCACAGCAGAATTTTATGTAAATATGCTGCACATATGCGTGCTTATAAATGCACATGTATACAAGCAGCAAGAGCAATCTGATTCCCCTCAATACAGCAAAGACCCTATAGATATGATTAACAGTCTTTCTAGGGAAGGTAAAGACTCCAAGGAAGTCTTCTGAATACCCCTTTACCTGACAAGTAGAATGAAGAAAAGCCTCTGGAAAGATATGTATGTTACATTTAGGCTTTCACAGATTTGGTGAGGGAACAACTGGCTTGAATTAACTGCTACCAGATTGTTGAGTTCAGTTATTAAATTAAATAACTTGAAAAGTCCTGAAACATCGATCTGCACAGCAAGTATTTGATGAATGCTTTCAAATTGTGAAGCTTGCAATCCACCGTGGTGACTTATTTTGAAGATTAGAATGGTTCCCAACATTGAACTCTGTAAGCCTCATGGGAGATGGAAGTGTCCTGGGAATGAAAAAAATAAATTCACAAGTGAGCTGAACTACTTTAAATATCCATTGACAATAATATGCAACTGTTAAAATTATGTTTTTGAAAAGTATGGGTCAGCATTGAAAAATGTTAAGTGAAAAAAGCAGGATGCAAAATTATATATACAATATTATAATTATTTTTAACCCAGAACTTTTATCTGGAATTATAAAAGACAGATGAAATACACTAAGTTGTTGAAAGTGGTGGATTCACGGGTAATTTATTTTCATTTCCTCTACTTTCTACTTGTATTTTTCACACTTTCTATAGCATATATATATATATATATATATATATATATATATATATATATATATAAATTTACAAGAAATAACATAAGGTTTGAAATTGGGCAATTCTGAATTTGAATTCTAGTTTTGCTATTTGCTATCACTGTGACTCTGGGCAAATAACATCAATGGATCTTAGTTTCTTCATCTGTAAAATAAGTATAACAATATCTACCTAAAATAATATCTGGCATATAGTAGGCACTCAACCAGCTATTATTAGTATAAGCTTTCTGGAAAACAATTTGGCCATATATATTAACAGTCTTTAAAAATTCTTACCAGTAATTTTGCTTCTAGGAGCCTACTGTAAGAAAATGACTACAAGGAAAAAGATTTATGTTCAATGATATTACTGACAGCCGTACTCATAACAGTGAAAAATTGGATAAAATTTTAATGTTGGACAGCAGAAAACTGGTTAAATAAACAACAGTACTTTGATATAATGGGAAATTACTTTCTGTATTAGTGAAAAAAAGAAGATTCAAAACTGAACACAATACTATTTCAATGTTTAAAAACATATTCATAGAAAATATTGGAAGGGATACAGCAAAATGTTAATGTAAGTTATCTTTAGGTGATGAGATTATGGGTGATTTTAATTTTCATCATAGTTTTTTCTCTTCTATATTATGTTTAATATACTTTAAAAGTTATCTCTAATATGTTATTTTTGTTATAAAAGCAATTCATACTCATCATAGAAGATTTGGAAAATATAGAAAAGGATAAATAAAAATAATCTATAATCTCAGAGACTGTTTTCCATCCCTTCTCCTTCTCATTTAGTAATTCAATAAATATTTACTGAATACTTACCTTGTGCCAGCTGCTGTATTAGAGGCTGGCACTAAAATGTGAACAAGACACAAGGACTGCCCTCAAGGAGCTTACAATCTAGTTTCAGAGATAGAAAAGTAAGTTAGCTATTATAGCACAGAATAAAGAGATCTCATAACATTATTATGGTAGCACCCAGAAGGGACATCAGTCAGTGATATACCCTGAGTAAATGATGTGGACACTGACTCCTAGAGAATAAATACTACTGAAGGAACTGAAGGAGACTGGAATGGAGGAGGTGGGAGGTTGCTGAGGAAGTATCCCAATCATGGGAAACAGCAGGGGCATGTTTGAGGGACTGAAAGAAGTCGAGGTGTACAAGTATGGGGATAGAACTAGTGGAGAGAAACCTTGGGAGGTGAGAATTAAGAGAGATGAACCTGGGAAGATGAACAGGGGCTGGATCATAAAACAGCTTATTGTAAACCATGTTAAGGAGCTCATACTGTGCTGAAACCAAAGAAAGAGCCATTACACAGATTTTTGTTTTTTATCATTCTAGTTGCAATATGAAGAATGGACTGGAAGAAGGGCATGATTGGAGGCAGGAAAAACAGTTAAAAGGCTATTGCAGTAATATAGATGACAGATGGTCTGGGGTCATGGTAATCAGAATAAGGAAGAGTATACAGCTTCCAGAGATATTTTGGAAGTACAATCAACTCACCTTGGTGAATAATTAGACGTAGGTGGAGGGGGATGAAGGAAAAGGAACAAAAACAGGAAATGGATTTTTGGGTGAATGAAGTTGAAAGGCACTGAGTTATTCAGGTCTGGAGCTCAGGAAAGAGTGGTGGGCTGGAAATACATACTTAATAGTTATCAGCATATATATGCCCTTTAGCCAAGGAATGGATAGATTCCCTAAGGAATGAGTAGATTTATGTGATGGTCAGGAGAAAACCTAGGAAAATTTGGGAAGACACTGGGAAGATGCTGGAAAGAAGCATGTAGGAAGTTCCAGAGAAGCATGAGAAAAGATTTAAAATTTTTTTTGCTTTATTTTTTTAACTTTAAATTAAAATACAGTAAAATTAACTTTTGTTTGGTTTATAGTTCTGTGAGCTTTTACACATGATAGAATCTGGTAACCATCATCTCAGATAGAATGTAGAACATTCTCTGATCCCTAAACCTGGCAATCACTTATCTGTTTTCTCTCTATATATTTTTTCCTTTTCCAAAATTTCATAAAAATGGAATTATACAGCACATAGCCTTTTAAAGATATTTTTTGTTTCTAAAATTGAAGTATAGTTGACTTACAATATTATATTAGTTTCAGGTGTACAACATAGTGATTTGATATTTTTATAGATTATGCATCACACGAAGTTTATTATAATATTATTGACTATATTCCTTATGCTATGAACTGGGCTTTTTCACTTAGCATAATGCATTTTAGGTTCATCTATGTTTCTATGAGTATCAATTGTTCATTACTTTTGATTGCTGAGTAGTATACTTTGTTTAACCTTTCACCCACTGAAGGAATTTGTTTTTGTTTCTCAGGTTTGGGCTGGTATAAATAAAGCTGCTATAACCATTCATATACAAATTTTTGTATGAAAATAGGTTTTCATTTTCTAGGGGAAGTAATCAGGAGTAGGATTACTGGGTCATATAGTAAAGTGTATGATTAACTTTATAAGAAACTTTATGAAGAAGTGTTTTCCAGAGTACCTGTGCTATTTTGCATTCCCACCAGAAATGTATGATAATTCTCACTGTCCTGCATCCTTCTCAGAACTTGCACTTATCACCGTGTGAAAAAAATTACCTATTCCAATATGGGTGTAAAGGAAACTCCTTGTCGTTTTAATTTGCATTTTCCTAATGGCTAGTGATATTGAGCATCTTTTCTTTTTTATCTCCCCAATGGATATCTATATTTTGAAACTAACTCCATTGTCATACTACCAATTTTCAAATATGAATGACCCTTCATTTATATTTTAACAAAGACTTTTGGCACTAATTTCAGAGAATATTCACAATCAATTTTTATTTTATTTATTTTAATTTATTTTTAATTGAAATAAAGTTGATGTACAACATTATGTTGATTTCAAGAGTACTACATAGTGATTCAACATTTGCATACCTTATGAAATTATCACCATGATAAGTCTAGTAACCATTTGTCTCCATGCAAAGTTATTACAATATTATTGACCATATTCATATTTAAGGCCAGTGTTTCTTTATTGATTTTCTGTCTGGATGATCTGTCCATTGATGTAAATGGGGTGTTAAAATCCTCTACTGTTATTGAATTATTTTCAGTTTCTCCTTTACGTTTCTTAATGTTTGCTTTATGTATGTAGGTTTGCTTATCTTGGGTACATATAAATTTACAACTGGTATATCTCTGTTGAATTGATCCCTTTATCATTATGTGATGTCTTTGTCTCTTGTTACAGTCTTTGTTTTAAAGTCTATTTTCTCTGATGTAAGTGTTGCTATCCCAGGTTTCTTTTCGTTTCCATTTACATGGGATACCTTTTCCAGCTCCTCCCTTTCAGTCTGTCTTTAGATCTGAAGTGAGCCTCTTGTAGGCAACATATATATGGGTCTTTTTTTTTAAAATCCATTCAGCCACTCTATGTTTTTAGATTGGAGCATTTAATCCATCTACATTTAAAGTAATTATTGATAGGTATGTACTTACTGCCATTTTGTTCATTGTTTTCAGGTTGTTTTGTAGGCCTTTTTTTTGTTGTTCTTTTCTTCCTTTGCTGTCTCCCCTTATAATTTAATGACTATCCTTAGTGTTATGTTTGGATTCCTTTCTCTTTTTTGTGTACATATCTATTAAAGGTTTTTGGTTTGTGGTCACCATGAGGTTCACATATAACAACCTCTTTCTCTATATATGATTATTTTAAGTTGATGATCTCTTAAGTCCAAACATTCTAACCGCCCTACATTTTTACTCTTACCCACCCCCAGCGTTTAATGTTTTTGGCATCATATTCTATTCCTTTTTTGTTTTGTGTATCCCATAACTACTTATTGTGGATATAGATGATTTTACTACTTGGGTCTTTTAACTCCCTATTAGCTTTATAAGTGATTATTCTACTCCCTATACTGTGTGCATGTTTGCCTTAATCAGTGAGACTTTTCCTTTCATAGTTTTCACATTTCTAGTTATGGCCTTTTTTTGCTTAGAGAAGTCCCTTTAACATTTCTTGTAAAACCGGTTTAGTGGTGCTGAACTCTTTTAACTTTTGCTTGTCTGTAAAACTTTTTATCACTCCTTCCAATTTGAATGAGAACTTCTCAGAGTATTGTCGGTTGTAGCTTTTTCCCCTTCATCACTTTGAATATATTATGCCAATCCCTTTTGGCCTGTGGTTTCTGCTGAAAAGTCAGCTGATAGTGTTATGAGAGTTCCCTTGTATGTTGCTTTCTCTTTCTGCTTTTAAGATTCTCTATTTTAATCTTGCTATTTAATTATAATGTGTCTTGATGTGGACCACGTTGCATTCATCTTGTTTTGGACTCTCTGTACTTCCTGAATCTGGATGTCTGTTTCCTTTCCCATGTTATGCAAGTTTTCAGCTATTATTCCTTCAGATAAGTTCTCTGACCCCTTTTCTATATCTCTTCTCTTTCTGGGATCCCTATAATGTGATGGTAGTATGCTTGATGTTGTCTCAGAGGTCTCAAACTATTCTTATTTTTTTTATTTTCCTATTCAGCTTGTATGATTTCCACTACTCTGTCATCTAGATCACTGATCCATTCCTCTGTGTTACCTAATCTATTGACTCCTAGTATTTTTTTATTTCAGTTATTGTATTCTTTAGCTGTGTTTGATTC